GGTGACATCTGATTGTCTGTGTTTAAAAACTGACTGAAAATTCAGAGACCTGGCAAGATTCATGCACAGCAGGCTTATATTAAGGTGATGAGGAAGAAAGTTAGCCATTGCATTGGTGGATTCCCCAAATCAGTGCATGGAGGTCTTTTCTCCAGGGCAATTCAGTTTCTCCAGAGAAAATACTTCTTCTTTCCTACCTTGTTGGGGATTAAGCTGGTCTGCACACTAAGCAGAGAGAGGTAAGGCTGATGGTAGAATTATTTCACCTGTAGACCTTCAGTTAATTTTGCTGAACCTCAGTTCCAAATTTCTTGGGTTTAATTTCTCCAAATAGTCTTTGGAGACTTCTGTGTACTGGCATTATGTACACAGAAGTGGGAAATAGGGCTTGGGGAGAGGATTCAATGATTTGTTCCACATTGAATCCTCAACAAATCCTCCAGTTTGTAATTCCACCCCTCACCCCTAGCCTGCTCAGTAACCAGTGCCTCTTCATCCTGGGCCATCCAGAATTCCATAGGATGGGTCAGCTCACTTCTCATTCACATCCCACTCTGCACACACTGGATACTGAGGCCTTTTGTGTTATGTAGTAGTGACTAGAAAATAAGTACTTTTTATTTTTCCAGGAGCCCAGTTGTATTAACAATATAGTTAGGGACTTCCCTGGTGGTCCAGTGGTTAAGACTTCGCTTTCCAATGCAGGGGGTGCAGGTTCAGTCCCTGGCTGGGGAGCTGGGATCCCACATGCCTCACAGCCAAAAAACATAAAACAGAAGCAATATTGTAACAAATTCAATAAAGACTTTAAAAATGGTCCACATCTATCTATATATCTATATATATATATATATATATAGTTAAAATAATATTAGGGTTAGATATTGCTAAGTGATCAGGGAAAGGACAAAGACCGTAGAAAGCACAGCTAACACTGACATCACTGGCCCACGTGGCTAGCCCAGGATACCAGAGAAAGGAAAACTATAGGGTGGAATCTGCTCAAAGGTCACAGAAAAATGCATACCTAGATGTTTTAAAGTAAATTTGTCATCTTTTCTTTTTAACCTTTAACACATAAAAGTTAATTATACAGATCATTTAACTTCCTAACAAAAATATACTCTGTTAAATATTTTATTTTCAAGATGTGGGAATATGCTTATTTCAATATCCTGCTGCAATGAATTCCCAGGGAACCCCCAAATTCTGGATCATATGGCTTTGGTTTCGTTCTTCTTATATCATTTCATAACACAATGATTTAAAAGTTATATCTTCAAATGGGATCATGGATCAAAACAGGAAAGCTGGGGCATTAGTTTGAAATTAGTGAAATATTCCAGCCAGATAATGAGGAAAATTCAGAACTCCAAAGCATCAAGGGTTGTGGTAACTTTGTTCTAACCGCTGAAGTTCCCCACGAAGATTTGAGGATTATCAAGACGTTACCACAATGCAGTAGCAATTGGGGGGAAAGTGAATGATGGCTTAAAGCTATTTTAAACTTGAGTTTTATTGTTGTGAACTGCAACTGAGCCTAAAGTTTAGCATCTCTGTTTCAGGAAAACCTGGAGCAATAGCGGTGTGAAACCATCACTCTTGAAGTGACATTTTAAATCCAACGTACAACCTATTAAGAAAGCTAAATTTAAAATTAGTGACAATACCAAACACCAAATGCTGGTGAGGATTTCTCATACATTGCTAGTGGGAATATAAAATGTCACAGCCATCCTGGGAAATAGTTTGGCAACCTCTTAAAGCACTAAACATACACTTACCACTTGACCCAGCAATCACACTCCTGGGCATTTAGCTCAGAGAAATGAGACTCATGTCCACATAAAAACTTGTACTTGATTGTTCACAGCAGGTTTTTTGTAAAAGCCAAAGACTGGACACCACCAAAATGTCCTACAATCAGCTAATGGTTAAACAAACATCTCCACCATGGAATACTACTCAACAATCCCCAAGAAAGGGACTGTCAACACACACAACAACCTGGATGGATCTTGAGAGCATTATGTTGAGTGAGAAGAAAAGCCAGTCACAAAAGGTCACATACTGTATGATTCCATTTATACATAATTCTCAAATCACAAAATTACAGAGGAAGACAGATTAGTGGTTGCTAGGGGTTGGGGAGGGGGAGAGGTGTAGGCAGGACTGTGGATAGGACAAGAAAAGGAGAGCACAGAGGACCTTTGTGGTGATGGAACAGTTCTGTATCATGATTGCAGCTGTGGTTATATGAATAATACACGTGATAAAGTTGTATAGAACTAAATATACACACATAAGTGAGGCCATGTAAAACTGGTAAACTCTCAATAAGGTCTGTGGATTGTAACAATGGTTTTCTTACAATGGTTTTCTGGTCTTGATATTGAACTGTATATAGTTACATATGACCATGTCTTTGAAAGAACCTGGATGAGGGGTACAGGGGATCTCTATATGTTAGTTTTGCAATTTCCTATGAATCTATCGTTTATTTTTATTTTTTTATTTATTTTTATTGTAGTATAGTTGATTTACAATGCTATGCCAATCTCTGCTGTACAGCAAAGTGACTCAGTTTTACACATATATACATTCTTTTCCATTATGGTTTATCTCAGGAGATTGGATATAGTTTCCTGTGCTATACAGTAGGACTTTGTTGTTTATTAGTTGTTTACCCATTCTAAATGTTATAGTTTGCGTCTACCTACCCCAAACTCCCAGTCCATCCCTCTCCTTCCACAAAGCTTTTTTTTTTTTTTTTTTTTTTTTTTCCCGCTGCATGGCTTGTGGGATCTTAGTTCTCCAACCAGGGATTGAACCAGGGCCCTCAGCAGTGAAAGTGCCAAGTCCTAACCACTGGACCACCAGGGAATTCCCTAAATCTATAACTATTTCAACTAATCCTCACTGAGTTAGAGAAAACAGAAGGTCTGTAGTGGCCCACATTAAGCAAGAGCCCACCAATACATGGCACAGTCACCAGTCAAACATGCTACAAAAAGAAGGATTAGGAGAGAGGAGGAACTGAGGGAGGAGGCAGAAAAGAGGAAGGTAGAGGAAAAGGCAAAAATATGGTAAAATGTTAAATACCCTGACAAAGTAAGCAAAAGTCAGACAAAGACTTCAACATGGAAAAAGTATAACTCAAAAAAATAAAAGCATATTTCCCATCAGTGGTGAGTGTTACAGATCTTAATTAGAGTAAGAATCAATAAAATAAGAGCTCAAAGATGAGACAAAATAGCTGATTTGGATAAAAAGGGAAAATGAGGAGCTGGGGGGAAAAAAGTCAAGAACCAAAACAACAACATATGAAATCTAACAAATAAATTAGAAAGAAGAGGGAATGGGGCTTAAAATTTAATTAATAACATGAAGAAAAAAATCATCCCAGGACAATAAGAGAAGAAAAACAAAAAGTTTAGAGCAAAAATGCACCAAAAAAGGAACGATTTTGTCCATGACATAAAGAACCCAACACAGGTAAGATAGAGCTGACTCAGAGATATAATACAGAAAAAAATCCCTGAAATAAAATAACTAAATTTTCAGATTGAAATTGCATATCATATACTAGGGGGAAAAACTGTTACAGAATATGCAAACAGAGACACAATCTAGTTAAATTATTGAACTTCAAATGTGAATAAGTAACTTTTCAGAAATTCAGAGAGATAAAACAAGTCACCTCCAACTGCTCATAGCAACTTCAATGCCAAAAAAAATTGGAGAAGTAGCTAAAAAAGAAAAATCTGAGGGAAAGAATGTAAGCATAAGAATATTATACCCAGCCAAGTTATCATTCAACTATAAAGGCAATCAGCTGACATTCTCTAACATGAGGAAACTCTGGGAGTATAGTACCTCTGAATCCTTCCTGAAAAAAATACTCTGTTGAAATTCAAGAACACAAGAAGGAATCAAAATACAGAGTATGGAGATGGTAACTTTGAAAAAGCCCCATGGTGAACACCAAATTCACATAAATATTGAACAATAATGTAAATGGTCCATAATATCTACTTTATAAATCTGGACAAAGAAAAAATAGTAAAACAATTAAAATCAAGGGGTGAGGGAAGAGGTTGAGAGAAAGTGTGAGGTGCTGATTACCTTATCTAAAATGTGATAAGACTTCTGTCCACAAAATTTTAAAAACAGGATTAGGTAAGTAAGATCTACATAATGGCTCCCATCTTTTAAAGATTTCCATATATTTCTTAATCTAAAAGGCACTTTAGGGCTTCCCTGGTGGCGCAGTGGTTGAGAGTCCGCCTGCCGATGCAGGGGACATGGGTTCGTGCCCTGGTTCGGGAGGATCCCGCGTGCCGCGGAGTGGCTGGGCCCGTGTGCCATGGCCACTGAGGCTGCGCGTCCGGAGTCTGTGCTCTGCGACAGGAGAGGCCACAGCAGTGAGAGGCCCGCGTAACGCAAAAAAATAAATAAATAAAAAATAAAAGGCACTTTAGTAACTTGTATATCTCAGAGTAAGGAAATATTTATCTGAAGCTTAGCATGTCTTCAGTTTCCCTTCCGGTTTTTTTTCTGTTGAATTAAAATAAAATTAATTTTAATTTTTTATTTTATAATAATATGTACAATATAATCCCATTTCTATAAAATTATTTCTATCAACCCATTTTTTCTGTCTCTCATATGCAGAGAGAGATAGTTGGAATAGTATCTAAAGTATTAACACTACTTATTTCTGGCTAGTAGGATTTGGGATGATTAGTTGCTCTTTTTAAAAAAAAAACTTTTCTATAGTGCTTCAACTTTTAAATGAGGGTATATTTCTTTTATGAAATGACAAAGTTACTTAAAATAATAATAAATTCACACAAGTACATTTTAAATAATAATTGACAGATTTTTTTTGCAACTTCAAAAAAGAGAAAAGAGACCCTCTGGTGAAAAAGCACAATCAATCAAGCAAATTTAAAAAGTGTCTAAAGCTTCCTTCAAGGTCAGTTTTAAAATCACCTTGGGTGCTTGCTCCGGCAGCACATATGCTGAAATTGGAACAATACAGAGAAAATTAGCATGGCCCCTGTGCAAGATGACACACAAATTCATGCAGCGTTCCATACTTTTGATGCAGTTGCTGTGGAAGACAGTATCGTAGTTCCTCAAAAAAAAAAAAAAATAGAATTACCTTATGATCCAGCAATTCCACTTCTGAGTACATAAACAAAAGAATTCAAAGCAAAGTCTCGAAGAGATAGTTGTACATCCTTGTCTATAACAGCATTATTCACAATAGACAAAGGTGGAAGAAACCCAAGTGTCCACTGATGGATGAATGGATAAACACAATGTGGTATATACATACGATGGAATGTTATTCAGACTTAAAAGAGAGCTCAGTAAAAAGGAAGGAAATCTTTTCACATGCTATAACATGGATGAACCTTGAAGACATGCTAAGTGAAATAAGTCAGTTTCAAAAGGACAAATAATGCATGATTTCACTCATATGAGGTACCTGGAGTAGTCAAATTCATAGACACAGAAAGCAGAATGGTGGTTATCAGGGGCTGGGAGGACAGAGGGATTGAGATTTATTGTTTAATTGGGTATAGATTTTCCGTTAGGGAAGATGAAAAATTTTGGGAGACGCAGGATGGTGTTGGTTGCACAGCAGTGTGAATGTACTTAATGCCATGAAATGTACACTTAAAAGAAGGCTAAAATGGTAAATTTTATGTTATGTATATCACATTTTTGTTAAGATCACCCTGCAAGGAAAAGCCCATGTAATTGGGGAGGTGGAGAGAAGGTGAGGGACTGTAGATATGACTGAAGGTTTTGTGTCAAAAGAGGCAGCCAAGCTAGAAAAAATGCCCTTATAGACTGAACTGTAAAATAATATATTTTTTTAATATTTATTTAATTACTTTATTTATTTATTTGGTTGCACAGGTTCTTAGTTGTGGCAGGTGGGCTCCTTAGTTGTGGCTCACGAGCTCCTTAGTTGCGGCTTGCCAGCTCCTTAGTTGTGGCATGTGAACTCTTAGTTGCGGCATGCATGTGGGATCTAGTTCCCTGACCAGGGATGGAACACAGGCCTGCTGCATTGGGAGTGCAGAGTCTTAACCACTGCACCACCAGGGAAGTCCCAAATAATGCATTTTAAAGTGTTCAAAAAGGCATGTTTGAGCAGCCAGTCAGGAGACCAAGGTGAAATGGGTTCTTTAATTTACAGTGTGTGACTGAACAGATGTTGATGTTTAGGGCATGTTATTGGTCTTTGTTCACAATGTTTATAATGATGATGCCTATAAGATGTTCAATGCAAATTTCCTGACATGAAATAACTGGTTAAGAAAATTTTAACAAGATAATATGAGCTTCTGAGCAAACCACGGTATCGGCTGGAGAAAGTGAACAGATGGAGGTAAGATTCTGCACAATTGCAGAAGTGGCAGAAGCAGGCTCAGACACATCCTGAATGAGGCAGAACCATTGCCTCAATTTTGGTAGTGCTTCCCCTCGAAGGGTCTGCCTCTTGATCCCCTTAGTGTTCTCAGTGGGGAAGCAAAATGGGTAAATTTTGTAATAAGGAGTGGTTTGAATACTTATCTTGTGGAGAGTGCCTTGAAAAGTTTGTCCTAACTCACTAACATATGCCAGTTTTGCAAGGAGAGCTGATGGTCAGTGTTTATGAGACATCAAAACCTAGTGTGTGCATGCCGCAACTACTGAGCCCACGCAGCACAACTATGGAAGCCCGCATGCTCTAGGGCCCACGTGCCGTAACTACTGAGCCCACGTGCTACAACTACTGAAGACCACACGCCTGGAGCCCATGATCTGCAACAAGAGAAGCCACTGCAATGAGAAACCCACGCACTGCAACAAAGAGTAGCCCCCACTCACCGCAACTAGAGAAAGCCTGCGCACAGCAGTGAAGACCCAATACAGCCAAAAAAAAAAAAAAAAACCTAGTGTGAAAACATCAATGAGTTGAATGAATTTGTTTTTCCCCCTTCATAATAAAGTGACTCGCAAAACCAGCTTATTGAGCAAGTTTCTTTTTTCAAGGTTGAACCTACTCAATCAAAATCTGTAAGGCCAAACTATGGAGGTACTCTATTAATAATCACACCAAGGCCTGGAATTAATTATAGGGATGCTCAGAACTTCAGGCAAACTGGCTCTCCAAGTTGCTGACATAGCTTTAGGGCAAAGTAATCAAAATGCCCCAACATCTGCAAACAAGCTTGATCTGATTTTTTCTTCCTTTCTTCGGTCATTGTCTTAGTGAGATTGGACTTCTGCTTCCAGAAAGATGGTGTAGACATACTTTTCCCTATCCCTCCTGCTTAGTATAGCTGAAACCCTGGACATTGTATGCAAAACAAATATGACTCTGAAAGGTGGAGAGAAGATGACAAGCTGGCTAGGGACTTCAGGACCCAAGGAATGACTCAGGTGAATTCCCTGAATTTTCTTTTTGCCTCATATAACCCACTAGGTGTTGGAGAAGCTGGCAGCCTGGGAATGTCAATGGGTGAAGATAAAAGAAATCTTGAGAAAAGTCTGCTCTCTTTAGACAAAGGATCAAGAAAGGTCAGCCTAGCAAGACAGAAAACTTCTAGAGAATAACTGCTCTACTCCAACCAAACATCAAAGAAAAAGTTTAGCCCCATTCCCACACCCACCAGCAAAGGATGAGTGGGGAGCCTAGACTTTCATCCTCATTAGGTGATAATAAGGGGTTCAACCCTCTCCTATCCCCCTCTGGGTGGTGTCAGAAAAGGTCAAGTGGGGAACTGGAACCTTCACCCCCACTGAGTGGTAATGAGGCTTCTCTATGCTGTGTCAGTGGAGATAACAGGGGCAGCCTGGACTTCTGCCCCCACCCAGCTGTATCAAGTTGCTCCTCCAGCTTCCTGCAGAGTTGGCGTCAGAGAGACCTAGTGAAGAGTCAAAACTTTCACCACCATCCAGAATTAATGAGGCCTCTCTACCACCACCATGACCATGACCACCACCACCACATCATGTTAGTGGATACCACATGGGGAGCAGAAACGAGGCACTTCTACCTCTTCCAGCTGAGGTGGTATCAGTAAAGACCTTTTGGGGAGCCTGAACTCCCACCCCCACACCATGGTAACAAGTAGTCCTTCCCCCACTATGATATCAATGTACGTTGAATGGGGAACCTGAACTTTCATCTCCACCTGACAGTAACAGTATAGTACTCTCTTTCCCTCACTAGAGCTGTGTCAGATGAAGCCAGCTAAAATAGATCATTGAAATAAGATCCAGACTCTCATAACAACCTACCCAAAATGTCCACGTTTCAATTAAAAAATCACTCATCATACCAAGAACCAGGAAAATTTCAACTTGAATGAGAAAGATAATCAACAGATGCCAACACTGAGATAACAGATGTTAGAATCATCTGACAAGGATTTTATAGCAGCCATCATCATAACAATGTTTCAACAAACAATTAAAAACACATTTGAAACAAATTTTGTAAAAAAACAAAACACTCAGCAAGTAAATAGAACATATAAAGAAGAACAAAATGGACATTTTAGAACTGAAAAATACAATAACTAAAATTTTTAAATTCAGTGGATTGGCATAATAATGGAATTGAGAGAACAGAGGAAAGAGCCAATGAACTTGCAAGACAATAGAAATTACCAGATCTGAACAACAGAGAAAATAGACCAAATATAAATAAATAAAAAAGGAACATAAGCTCAGGGTACTGTGGAACTTTAGTAAAAGATATAACTTTCATGTTATCAGAGTCCTAGAAGGAGAAGGAAAACTAGGTGGGCTGAAAAAAAATATTCAAAGAAACAATGACTGAAATTTCCTGAATTAGGCAAAAGACACAAACGTACAAATTTAAGAAGCTGCAACCTCAAACAGGAAAAACCCAAAGAAATCCACACCAAGATACATTATGGTCAAATTTTTGTAAACTAAAGAAAAAAAAATCTTGAAATCAAGAAAAGAAAAACCTTATCTACAGGGGGGAAAAAATTTGAATGACAGTGATTTCTCATCAGAAACCATGGAGGCCAGAAGAAAATGGCACAATTTTTCATAGTGCTGAAAGAAAAGAGATATCAAACTAGGAACCTACATCCAGCAAAAATATCCTTCAGAAATGAAGAAGATATCAAGATATTATCAGATGAAAGAAAACTAAGAAAATCTGTAGTCAAAAGATATACCCTTAAAAAATGACTTGGAGATTAGACAATAAGGAAATACAGAAATGAAACAATAAAATAATGTATCTTGGAACATCGGGGGAAAAAAGAACAATGAAAAGAGTAAAAATATGATGTTCTTTTTCCTGAATTTTCTAAGTTACATTTGATGGTGAAGTGAAAGTCGTACAGTGCAAATCACCTAACATAGAGAAAATTTTTAAGACAATTGTATTATATATGGGGGAGAGTGGAGGGATACAAAGAGAATTATCACTCTCTATGCATCACTCAAACTGACAAACGTTGACACCAGTGGACTGTGATAAGTTATATATACATAATGTGATACCTAGAGCCACCACTTTAAAAAAATTATACAAAGATATACACTCAAAATAGCATAGATGATTCAAAATTAATTCTTAAAAATGTTCAAGTAACACACAGGAGAGCAGGAAAAAGAAAACAAGGAAACAAAAAAACAAGAGAAAACGAACAGAAAACAAAAATAAATAAAATGGCAGACTTAAGCCCTAACATATTAATAATTATATTAACTATAAATTATCTAAATATACCAAGTAAAAGATGGAGATTAACAAGAATGGGTTAAAAAATGATCCAACTATATGATATCTATAGGAAATTCGCTTCAAAACTAACAGTATAGGGCTTCCCCGGTGGCGCAGTGGTTGAGAGTCCACCTGCCGATGCAGGGGACACGGGTTTGTGCCCCGGTCCAGGAAGATCCCACATGCCGCGGAGCGGCTGGGCCCGTGAGCCATGGCTGCTGAGCCTGCACGTCCGGAGCCTGTGCTCCGCAGCGGGAGAGGCCACAGCAGTGAGAGGCCCGCATACCACAAAAAAAAAAAAAAAAAAAACCGGAAACAACCGAAATGTCCT